AAAAATCGTTTTCTAGGAAATTACCCACTTATTTTGTAATTTTCAGGTTTGAACTAGAATGTACTCAATGGATGAACTATCGAAGAAATGTAATGAAGAAGATGAAATGAGCAAAGCTATTTTACTTTCTCTCGAGGACAGCTTCAGGTTTATATAAAATTAATGACTTCGCTATTGATATTTTGAGGGACGCTACGTCAACAATTATATTATTACTCTTCGTTTCCAACTTTATTTTTAACTTAAAAATACGAGGAGTTTAGGTGGTATAAATCGATCTAATCCGAAAAGAGTAACATAATCCCCTGGACCATTCTGTCCCTTGAGATCAGCTGTAATGTAATAGCAGTGGACTAACTATTGGGGTTTTAAAGGTCCAGTTAGAGCAGGTTCGGGACGGTGCTTCCAGCGCCTGGCGGTGGTCTGTGGGGTGCACATTGGGGCCTCTTGCAGATTTCACTTCCTTATGAACATAATCCCCTGGACTATTCTGTCCCTTGAGATCGTCTATAACTTTTATAATCCTATGGACCATTCTGTCCCTTGAGATCGTCTATAACTTTTATAATCCTATGGACCATTCTGTCCCTTAAGATCGTCTATAACTTTTATAATCCTATGGACCAATTCTGTCCCTTAAAATCGTCTATATATACTTTCATAATCCCATGGACCATTCTGTCCCTTGAGATGGTCAATTTCTTTCATTTTGTTTTAGGAGTACACACGGTATTTACAGCACTCCTCAAACAAGATCTAACTCCAGTACGTTCCTAGATTCAGGGACTTGGCATTCATTTTAATACTAAATCATCGTTCTTACATTTTTTTTCTTCCAAATGAAGATTCAATATTAATTTAATATATGTCGTCAGCAAGTTGTGTTTAGAAAAGTTTCTTTTTATAAACTTCATTTAACAAAACAACAACCAACAGAAAACGAAGCTAAACGATCGATTGAACCACTTTCTTCATTTATCTTAATCAAAATCATTTATTTTCCAACAACTTATTTCTTGCTTCAGATTTTACTTTCTCTTTTTACTGTTTGTTTGTGTTCTGTATTATATGAATGCCTACGTTTGTCCTTTAGGTTTATCTGAAGACGAACAATTTAAGCGTGCTCTTTATGTGTCGGCAATAGAAGCTGGATCGGTAAGTAATGTATCGCCCGTACTAATGTATCGTCCGGACTAAACATTTTATTTTTATAACTCCTAAAAATCCATATTTCCGCTGTAAAGTATTAACTTTGACTAGTTGAAGGGACTGAAAAGGTTATTTCAAGTCATTCTCCAAGCAAAGTTGGCGATTGTCGATTTACAACGATACCGTTAAAAACTAGTTTTTTTCCCGAGCCAGAATGAATGGTATATTAATGTTTATAATTTTGAAAACTGAGTATATTTAATTGTGGTTTCTCTAAAAAAGTGACTTTCTACTTAAGGAAAACAGAATTGATCACTTTTAAACTTAGACAATCTTCCAAATTTTTGATGAGATAAAGGATACAAGGGTACCGTTGTGAATCGTGCTTTGGCATCTTGCATGAAGAGTCACTTGAAAATATACTTACAGTCCCTTTAATATTGTTAAAGATAAGTCACATAATATACTTACTTACAGTCCCTTTAATATTGTTAAAGATAAGTCACATAATAATATTGTTAAAGATAAGTCACATAATATACTTACAGTCCCTTTAATATTGTTAAAGACAAGTCACATAATATACTTACAGTCCCTTTAATATTGTTAAAGATAAGTCACATAATATACTTACAGTCCCTTTTATATTGTTAAAGATAAGTCACATAATATGCTTACAGTCCCTTTAATATTGTTAAAGATAAGTCACATAATATACTTACAGTCTCTTTAATATTGTGAAAGATAAGTCACATAATTTTGTTTTTTGATAAATCTTTACATTTAATCTTTCGGGGAAAATATTATTGATGAAAACATTTAAATGGAACGACAAAAATGAATCTTTCGGTATCTTTCACTGAGTTAAACGTTTTGAGAGGGACAGAAAAGAGGATATTCAATATTCATGAAATAAGTTGAACAAAGTTTCTGCGTTTGGCTTACATCGTAGACTTTGATTTAAAATCAATTCTAATTTTCTTCTACAATTATGTATATTCACCTCAACAGTCATCAGCTCCTTTTTGCCGGTCAATTCCTTTCAAACGCCGAACCTGAAAAAAATTTTATGTTTTTTTTTTTAGGATGTTCCGAATGATTTTGATCAGTTTTGCTGCCAAGTTGAACCGGAGAAATCAAGCGATGCTTCGAACCTTTCATTCGAGAAATGGAAGAATCGTCCAATTTCAGAGCGCATCTGCGAAGCTAAAGGTGGCACTGGCCAACTGGCCGAAAGCAAGTCCAAAACATTGGATTACAGCTCTTCCTTTGATTCGCCGTCTTATTCCTCCTCTTCCTTAACAAGTTTAAATGGATATCAATCAGTTAGTGGCATATCCCATATTCCTGAGACGACCTTTAAGAACGATATCGGAAGTTTTAACTCTACCGCCCGCGGTGCCGAGGCATTTTTTCCTCAAATCCGTCCGCCCTCAGCAGCTCCGGCTCCCAGTGTTTTAACGTCATCTTCCCTTAATCTTTTTGATATCTATAAACCTGCATCTTCTTCGAATTATTTAAATTCTTATCCATCATTAAGTATTATTAATTCATCTTTAAATCATCTTAATAGTCCCGGTTATTCTCCCTCCGACCTTTTAAATAATTCAGATGCTTTTTCTCCGACGGATTCTACTCCTTCTAATTTATTTAATGGTTCTATATCCTCCGCTTCTCATGGTTTTGATTCTACTAATTTTAAATCTGTATCCTCGAATAGTTCTCAACCCGACATTGGACACGACGAAGATGAAACATTAAGGAAAGTTAGATAAATCAAAAAATGTAAGGGGAGTAAACAGGAATTTGCCCGAGAGAGGATGAACGGGCTTTAAAAGTACAATAAGTTAAATAATTTTTTATATCTAAAATTATCTAAACTTGGATTAGATTGGTTTTGGAGCTTTCTAAAAAAGAGATTAGATTGGACGCAGAGGAGCAAAAACGAATTGAAGCTGAGGAGTTTGAAGCGCAAACTAAATTTCTTATTGAAGAATCTAAATTACTCGACATGACGGATAAGTTACGACAAGATTTAAAAATTGAGACAAGGTAAAAAATTTTATCGGAAAAAGCGTGTATATTTTTATCTTTATAATTTGTTCATCAGCTAATATTTAGAGAAAAAACGTCATGATTTTCAACCTAAAATAATATATTTAAACTCACTGAGACTTGAGAGTAATGTCTTGTTCAGTTAGCGGGGGAAGGCAGGCGGTCATGAGTCACAACTTTATTCCTTTCCATACCTTATATTACCTTTTTTGTATTTTTTTAATACTCGTAATGCATTAAAATAGCGTTTTTTAAAAATCCAGCAACGCCTAACAACTTATAAGCTTTTTTGTTTTTAATACCTCTAAATAAATTTTTTTCCCCAAAAGTTAAACTTAAATTTATCCTAAAGAGCTAACGAATCGATTTTTTTATGGGTGGCTGGGGTTGGAGAAAGATTTAAAATAAAATTCAATGAAAGTGATTTGACTAACACTCTATTGGTTTAGGTCTGGAAACTACTCGTATAATTACAATAAAGAAAACCTAACTGCTATCGAACAAAGAACACTGGAAAATAAACTTACCCAAGAAGCAAAATTCAGGTCAGTATTAAAATTATATTTTATTTTATTTCTTTTCTTAAGAGAGCTTGACTTTCAACCATTCGATCCTATTCCTTTCTGTTTAGAGAGCTTGACTTTCAACCTTATAAACTTATTCCTTTCTGATTAGATAGCATGACTTTCAACCATTCGATCCTATTCCTTTATGTTTAGAGAGCTTGACTTTCAACCTTATAAACTTATTCCTTTCTGATTAGATAGCATGACTTTCAATCATTCGATCCTATTCCTTTCTGATTAGATAGCATGACTTTCAATCATTCGATCCTATTCCTTTCTGTTTAGAGAGCTTGACTTTCAACCTTATGAACTTATTCCTTTCTGATTAGATAGCATGACTTTCAACCATGTGATCTTTTTCCTCTGTTAAGAGAGCTTGACTTTCAACCTTATGAACTTATTTCTGTCTGTTCAGAAAGCTTGACTTTTAAATGATATGATCTTCTTTTCTGTTTAGAGAGCTTGACTTTCAACCATATGATCTTATTCCTGATATTGACGACGATTGGGAGGACCCCTCCAAGGAAGATTGGCAACCGGCCGGTGGCCGGCGTGTCAGGCGGGTCAGTTTGACGAGTTGGAAACCTGCTGTTCCATCCCCCGGGATAACTAATTCACAATCAATGTACAATCCAGAGGGTAAACCATTTTCCTATTGTTTATAATAAAAATACGTATAGTTTTTAAATATTTTTATTTTTAAGTGTTCTTTTACAATTCTTAACAATGTATGTTAGCAATATTTACTATTATTAAAAAAAAACTTGAAATATTCATCCTTTCTCATCAAAAATTGTTCTCTTCAGGAATATTTTTTCTTTGAATTGTTAAAAAAGGGATTTGTAAAGGAAAATAAATTAATTTTTTGGGACAAAAGTATACCAATAGGATAAAAACAAAAAAGCAATTTTATTCTTATTGTAGAGTTTGTGGCTGTTACTGGCCAGAAACGGTTGATCGTGATTGATGGGAGCAATGTTGGATACAGTCATGGTCTTCATGAAACCTTCTCCCTGCATGGAGTCTGTATCTGTATAGAGTATTTTACCAAGATGGGTCACGAGGTAAGCTTCTCCCTACATGGAGTCTGTTTCTGTATAGAGTATTTTACCAAGATGGGTCACGAGGTAAGCTTCTCCCTACATGGAGTCTGTATCTCTATAGAGCATTTCACGTGACACTACCTAAACAAGTAACAAAAAGGAAGTTCTGCTGTCTGGAAGGGACTGCAAGCGTAATTTCAAGTGACCCTCCATGCAAAGATGGCAATGCCCGATTCACAAGGGTACTCTTTAAAGCTTTGTCTGATCAACTATGAATTAGAACTCCATGCTTTTGTTTTAGAAACTGTTATTTTGATTTGTGATTTCTCTGCAAAAGTAACTTGCGCATTTCTTGCTTTTAAAAGAAGACTGAAGGATTTAGCACTTTTCAAATAAAAAAAACGACTTTATCTTCCACATTTTTTGATTAAATCAAGGTGTCAAGGGTATATTGTAAATCGAGCATTGCCATCTTTGCATAGGTTACTTGAAATTTCGTTTATCGTTTCTTTAATACATGTTAATCTTGACAATTTTCATTATTGTGTTTTATTACGTGAAATTAAATTTAAAAAACGTTTTCCCCAAAAACGTTGAGATTTTGTTTCAGGTTGTTTCCTTCCTGCCTCCGAGCCGGTACAACTTCTCGAGCGCAGAGGAGAAGGAGACCATGGACGTTATGATTAACTCTAAACTCCTCGTAATCACGCCGCAGCGCAAGTATGTTTTCAGGGTTGGATATTTTCTTGATAAAATCTTAATTGTCTCCCCCATCTCCTTTAAACTCTTTTTTTTTTACACACAAATGTTAGGTATGTTCCCAGGACCGGGAGTGCAAAACAAGACCTGAGCTCTGCACGGCTCAGTCTAGTGGTTTTTATTTCATTTTTTGCCTTGAAAACTAAAAATTATGAATTAACTCTAAAACAGGATAGTATGATCTTTCTTTGCACACTTCGGGGGGAGGGAGGGGGGGGGGGGGAAAACGATGTTTCACGAGTCTTTTCCCACAAAAATTATAATAAATTTTTTTTTTTCAGATTGCCGTGTGGTCGGATTGTTAGCAGTTACGATGATCTTTTTATCATAAAATACGCGGCCTCCAAGCGCGGGATAATCGTGTCCAACGACCAGTATCGGGATATAAAAGAACGTGGTAATCCCGATTACACAGAACAAGTGGAGAATAGGTAACCAATCCATTAGGCAATGCATCATGCATCATGCATCATACAGACAGGGTTATCCAAAAAGTTGAGACTGTAAAGACGACTTGAAACTCTTCAACTATTACAATTCCAAGTTTAAATTAAGTCTTCTGCTTTAAATGTGGTCCTTGTGGGTAACCCTGTACAAAGTCAAAGTACGTACATTATGAAAATTCGGGAAAAGTGTTTTAAAAATGCCTTCACTGCACACAACTCCCTGGCAATAAAGATAAAAAGATATGCAATAAAGATAAAAGAATATGAATACAGTTGCTGAAATTTATTTATTCGTTTTAAGTTTTTTTATTGCTTATTACTTAATTTAATTTTGGATTAAAAGAATTTTTTGGGGTGGCGTGGGGGGGGGGGATGGAGATAAAAATAATTAAAAAAATTCAAATCTTGAAATAAATTTAGTATTTTGTGCTCATTCAACTGTAAATAAGAATTTGCCAAACCTAGAAAACAATTTTTTAAATTTTATATTTTTATTGTTTAGGGTTTTATCCTTCTCCTGGCATGGGGATACGTTCATGGTTCCTGACGATCCTTTGGGTAGGGATGGACCTGCTCTTACGCAGTTCCTTCATCATTAATCAGATCATTAATCCGATCATTAATCCGATCATTAATCCATTCATTAATCCATTCATCCTATGTTTAGTTAATCCATTCATAAAATGCTTCGTTAATCCATTCATTGAATAATGATTGCATTCACCGTTAATTAATTAAATAATTGATTAATTAGTACATTAATTAGTTTTTAAAAGTGGTTTTCAAAACTTAAAATATGTAAATGACTAAAATCTTTATTTACTCAGTATTTGATTCGTGTTTTTGCTTAAACTTCAATTATTTATGGATTGCTCAATTGATCTATTGATTGATCGAATAGATTCATGTACGTTAAGTGGTAAGAGAAGAAAAATGATTTTTAAAATTTATTTCAGCTAATTTATTAACTGAGATGAATTCATGATTATTATTGACACCATTACTTTCCTTATTATTTCCTTTATAATCCGAGAACTCAAATTATGGTAAATAAAAAACATATAAAAAAACAGCAGATCATTAAACCTTGTATGAACATTTTTTTACTTAATTTAGATATAAGCTCTTGTAATAATTAGAATATACATATTTATTGATTGAAATCTGTTATTATTGGCGTAAAGATAGTGTTTTACAAAGAATTTAGTTTTCGTAGATATAATGTTGTATAAGTATGTAATTAATTGTTGTTCGTATTAAACTAGACTTGTCAAGGATGGATATGGGAATTTTTAAGATGGTACATATGGTCCATGAAAGTTTTCAATTTCCAGATGTATGTTAACTTTGTTCCGCCCCCTGACTCGTCTGTTTAAAATATATAATTATTGAATCTAATGTTTGTAACATAATATGCTTTACATCTTGTTAAGAAATGTATTTACTCGAATAATTATAATAACACTTTATCTAGCAATTAATCGCTAATTTCTAGTTGAATTATTACCAACAACTTAAACCCCATAATTTTTCTGGTAAAGGTCAACCGAGACTCCTTTTCTTGATATCACTCTTTCCAAAATTAAACAACAACCTTTTTTAAAATGAAACTTTTAAAAATTTATTTTGATATTTTTGTATTTTATTGTGATCTATAGTTCGTGTACATTTTTGCAGGGGTATCCCCCCTCCCCATTTAAAGTTACAGCTTACAAAAAAGAAGGCCTCTTAGTGGAGTAGAATTCTTGTAATCCTATTCCACTGCATAACTACACTGCCTAACTTAGTTTTGTATAGTTTTATAGGTATGTCTTACAGTCCCTTTAATAACAGTACTGTAAAGTACCAAACACGGTGCCTGACTACTGACTAGTTCCTTATTTAGAGAGAGTTATTTTCCCATTGTATAACAACAGTAACAACGTGTAAAAAAATTAACAAAATTCAAAGAAAATAGCTTAAACAAGAATATTATTTACATTTTATAATTTTTTAACAAATAATTTTGTAATACTTGTAAACGTTACTCGTCTATAAACTGTAAAATCTTGTAAACATGTCATGTAAGTGATGTACTGCACCAATTTGTAAACATTAACTGGAGAAAAATTTCAATATAGTTTTGTACACGAGATAAATAGATATATTTTTTTTTTCAGAGAAAATGGATATTTGTTACCACAGCTTTATCTACAACCTAATAAATTAAAAACATATTTAAGCAAATAATCAACTTTTCCCAATCAATTATTTTACGGCTTAATCAGATAATCAGCCACCTAATCAATTATATTACGGTCTAATCAAATTATGCTATTTATTAATTTATTATGATACAATCTTATCAATTGAAACAGAGAGCAAAGTCCATTCTAAACCTAATACATGTGACGTTTTTGAAATTATGAGTTTTGAATCACGTGACTCAAATCTTAATACTTACAAGTTGCATATTAATACATCACACACATCCTTCACAAAAACATATGTAACTGTTTAACAGCAAATAGTAAGGTTATTAGAAGAATTTAAGCACCAAGACAATGTTTGTGATAAATGTGAATGTTGAGAGATAGATCATTAATTTTTCAAAAATATTAGAAACATTGTTACTTGTTTCACATTCCAATTTATTATTGAACATGTTAGAATTAAAAAAAAAATTTGTTTGTTTTGTTGATAGTAACGATAACATTCTTATCTATATCCTTTTCTGATCCCTCTATAATGAAAATCATAACCCCGGAGAAAAAACGTCCATCGTAAAACTTTTTTAGATAAAATGTCTTGTGCTCTCCAATGCAAAATAGGTAAGAACATTGTCAGGAAATATATATTTTTTTATTCTTAAATGCAAAATGATCCTCAATGTCCGATTCACAATGAAACCCTTTAAATCTGGACCTAAGCAAAATAATGCAGATATTTCAGTTTTCTATAAACAATAGTTCAAATGACCCATAGATAGTTCTAATAAATATATGTAAAATACAAAAAATAGTTCAAATGAACAAAATATAGTTCAAATGAACAAAAAATAATTTAAAGAACATATAAATAGTTCAAATGAACAAAAAGTAGTTCAAATGAAATATTCAAAAAATTTAACAGTTCAAATGAAAGGAAAAATAGTTTAAATAAACAAAAAAATTGTTCAAATGAACAAAAAACTGTTTTTATAAAAATTCATGAGTCTAAATGAAATATGGTTTACAGGAACAAACAAATGTTCATTAGCCGCAGCGCTCGATCCACTTGCCTATCCTAGCCGCAGTGCTCGGCCCAGAAATAGTCTTAACCTAACCTAAATCTGAAATAATACACATTTGAGCTATATTTTTGGTTCATTAGAACTATTTTTATTTTCATTTGAACTACTAGCCGCAGCGCTCGGCTCCTAGCCTGTCCTAGGCGCAGCGCTCGACCCAGAAATTGTCTCTACCTATCCTAACCTTAATTAGTTCACCGGTTTGAAATATTTTATGGTTTATTTGTGTTCATATGTTCATTTGTTTTTGAACTATTTCTTCAACAAATTTTTTGGGTCATTTAAACTATTTTTACGTTCATTTTCACTTTTATATGTTCATTTAAAATATTTCATTTGAACTATTTTTTTCATGTAAACTATTTTTTGGTTCATTTAAACTATTTTTATTTTCATTTAAACTATTTTATGATAATTTGAAACATTTTTTTGTAATTGTTTAAACTATATCTTTAATTCTTTATGACCTAACTTCATGAATTATATATAACAAAATTTAAAAAACTGAATTTATAGAAAAGTATTTCAGTGTTGATTTAAACTACAGGATATGACGCCATGTCAGTAGTTCAAATGAACAATACTTCAAACGGCGGTAGTTAAAACAGAGGTATCCACCGCATACGGGCGGACGTCCCCCTAGTTCTCTAGGGACGTCCCCCTAACCCCCCCCCCCCTCTTGAACCGCCACTGTTTATTAATTCATTGATTGATTGCTTGATTCAGGACCTTCTATATTGAATTCTGATTTGTCTGATCTGTTTGGTGAGTCTCGACGCCTGCTTGATGCAGGAGCTGATTATTTACATCTTGTAAGTTAATTCAACTTTTCCAATTTTTTAATAATCAAAATTTTAAAATTAATATTAAAATTTCCTTTTTGACTAGGCTTTGTATTTTTTGTTGTTGCTTTTTTTTGACATAATCTTCTAATTCCTATACGAGGGTTTTTATTTTTGTCATCAAAAACAATTCTTTCAGTTTTTTTTTGTTCCGCTGAACTTTTGGTAAAAATTTATTATTTTTTTTTAATAAAACAAACAAAATATTTTAGGAAAAATCATCTAAACTCTTTCAAATTATTTTTCCCCCTTCCAACACGTGAAAACATTTACCCAATTCTAAAGATAAATGCAAAATATTAATTTTTGAACTTTAGGATGTGATGGATGGCCATTTTGTTCCCAACTTGACGTTTGGACACCCTGTCGTAAAGTGCCTTCGTCCCAAGCTTCCAAATGTCTTTTTTGACATGCATATGATGGTGGCCAAACCGGAGCAGGTATTTGTTTCATATACAAGTGTATACTGTAGGGGTGTATATTTCCTCAAAATAAATCTTCTTAACAAAAAATCGATGAATTTTTAAGTAAAAAGTATCTAAAAGAATGAAAAAGTTGCCTATTCACCCCCCCCCCCCAAAAAAAAAAATCATTTCTGAAAAATATACACTCCTTGTTTCAAGACAAACTTTTTTAGTTACCTTACTCTGTGCTCATCAATTATCATATTTTTAAAAAACATTAAGTTTTTTTTAGTGGGTTAGTCCGATGAGTGACGCTGGTGCAGATCAGTTCACATTTCATATTGAAACCACACAAGAACCAGCATCCCTTTGTAGAAAGGTAAGGTTTTCAACATTTATGCGGATTTTTCAACATTAAAGAATTCAGCATGAACGATTCTTTTTTTGGTTTTATATCACAACTAATTTTATTTAACTGAGATTGTGATTAATTTATTTGGTTATTAACGTTTGGTAATGATTTAATTTAATTAGATTTAAAATTAACGAGTTGATTAGATCAATGAGAGTGGTATGAAGGATTGGTTTGAATAAAAATATTATTTGATGGATTGATATATTTTTTGCCTAATTTATTTACATCAGCGAGAAAGGAAAAAAAAGGCTTGTGTTGGTGTGATTGATTGATTGATTGAATGATTATTATTATTAAATGATTTATTGATTTGTGTTGATGTGGTTTATTAACTGATTATTTGAGTAATTGATTGAACTTTTGATTGATAAACTGTTTGATTTAGTAGTTGATTGATTTGTTGATTTATTTAGTGATTAGTTGATCGAACTAATAAATTGAATAATAAATTAACTTATTAATTGATTTTTTTTATTTATTGGTCGATTGAAAAGATCCGTGAAAGTGGAATGAGAGTTGGTGTAGATGTGATTGTTGAAACAATTTGATTTATTAACTGCTAAATGAAGTAATTTATCATTTATCAACTTATTAATTGAGTTTTTGATTAATTGGTCGATTGAGAAGATCCGTGACAATAGAATTAGGATTGGTGTTGATGTGATTGATGTGATTTTTAAAATAATAATTTGATTTATAAATCATTTGATTAATGATTGATAAACTGTTTGATATAGTAATTGATTGATTTGTTGATTTATATATTGATTAGTCGATCGATTAAGTGATCCATGAAAGTGGAACGAGGTTTAGTGTTGATGTGCTTTTGGAAAAAAAAATTATTGAATAGTTATTGGATTGATAGATTGATCGACTGATTGATTGATTGATTTAATAAAATTGATGATTAATTATTCTATTGATTGATTGATTGATTGATTTATTGGTTTAAATTCGTGAAAGTGGAATGAAGGTTGATATTGATGTGATGTTTAAAATATAATATATGATTGAAAAACTCATTAATCAGATGACTGATTGATGGGATTTTGAAATTATAATTTGATTTATTAATTCCTTGATTGATATACTAACTTAGTAATTGAGTAAATTATTGATTGATTGAATGATCTATTTGACTTGATTGATTTTTGATGTTAAATGTTTAATGTTGATGTGATGTGGGTTTGGAAATAATTATTTGAATAATTAGATTGATTGATTAACTGTTTGATTGATTGATTGGTCTGTGATTGATTAACTCTCTGATTAATTTATTGATTTTATAATTTATAATTGATTATTTTATTGATTGATTGATTTGATTAATTGATATATATTGATTGATTGATTGATTGATTGATTGATTTAGATCCGTGAGAGTGGAATGAAGGTAGGTGTTGGCATAAAGCCTGGAACCCCAGTCTCCAGTGTGATGGAGTGGGTCGACCAAGACATGGTGGATATGGTCCTGGTAATTCAGATTTTAATGATGGGAGAAATTGTGTGTGGGAGGGGGGATACTTCATGAACTCATCATATGGAAAAAAAAACATTATTTGGTCAAGTTGACCTAACCTCCAATTTTTATTTCGAGGTTTACCATTTGATAAGACTGTAGAGTGTAGACGTAATCTTACTTTTTCGGAGTAATAATGGAGAAGATATCGCCATTTTTCTATCTTGAAAAGTGTTGAGTTCTGACCATTTATATCCATCGTCTCAGGTGTCCAGAAATCTGTAAGTCACAATTATAGAAACCACAATTGAAATAAATCTTTTTTTCAGGGAAAAATCAAGGATATCTTATTAATTTTATCAGATTATTGAGAAGTAAATATTAATTCTTTTATCAGTTATTGAGAAGTAAATATATGGTTTCTTTTATTAGGTTATTGAGAAGTAAATATGGTTTCTTTTATCAGATTATTGGGAAGTAAATATGGTTTCTTTTATAAGATTATTGAGAAGTAAATATGGTTTCTTTCATCAGGTTATTGGGAAGTAAATATCGTTTCTTTTATCAGATTATTGAGAAGTAAATATGGTTTCTTTTATCGGATTATTGAGAAGTAACTATGGTTTCTTTAATCAGAATATTGAGAAGTAAATATGGTTTTTTATCAGATTATTGAGAAGTAAATATGTTTTTTTTTTATCAGACTATTGAGAAGTAAATATGGTTTCTTTTATCAGATTATTGGGAAGTAAATATGGTTTCTTTTATCAGATTATGACAGTGGAACCGGGATTCGGAGGCCAGAGCTTTATGGAGAATATGATGGGAAAGGTAACAATTATATTTAGGTACTATAAGGTACTGTACGCCTAATTTCAGTGACCCTCCTTGCTTAGATGAAAATGCCCGATTTACAAAGATACCCTTAAAAGTTTTGTCTTATAACAAGTATGAAAAATATATCGATGTTTCAAGGGTACCGTTGTGAATTTTTTCATCAAGGGTCACTTAAAATTACGCTTATGCTTGTTGTTAAGGTCAACAGTTAAGATCGCGTTGGCAAGACTGCTCGGTGTCCCCTGTTCAAATTTAGATATTTTTTAATTTTAATTCAGCAAGAATAGCTTAAAATAAGAAATAGAGAGATGTTGTAAAAGTAGGTTGAACTACTGTGACTACTTATACATATAATTCCATCCAATACGATCCCGAATGTTGATTTATTGATATTAGGGGCAGAAATTAAACATTTTGTCATTCTAAATAATTGGAAGTATGATTTCCCTTAACTTAATCCGACCCCGGGAAAGTTTTACAATGTACAATTGGGGACAGTGATGCCTCCTAGCTCCCTATCCNCACTAGTAAATGATATTAAGGTCAGTGAACTAAGATCTAAGTATCCTAGCCTGGATATTGAAGTAGATGGAGGGGTTGGACCAGCAACAATTCATCATTGTGCACAGGTACTACTGATTTGCCTTCAGTTGCTTCGTTTTTGGAACGTTTTTGTCTTTATTTTTCCAGGGTCAAAATTGGGCATAATGTCAAACTTTGACCCGGACAGAAGATAAATGCATAAAATGACCCAAAAAACGATCCAAAGACGATGCAAAAACAAATGTGTTGTAACGATCGTTTTTCCATTCTAAATTTTTTCAGGATAAAGATATTGCAAAGTTTTTAAAACCAATCTTTAAGATAATTCAATTTTTTACAATCTTTAAAGTTTTATTAATTATAGGATAAGATATCAGCTGAGATTGGTTCGATTTTTGATTAAAAAGACAAGATAAGATGCAATTAAGATTTGATATGAAGTCCAAAAATTGGAATTGGGTTAAAAACATTTTTAACCCTTCGTTGTTTTAAATCCACATTTTAAAATAATTTTATTAAGATTAAGATTGTAAATCGAGTTATCCTTAATTTAGCAAATATTTGTTGTATATTAACTTGTAATGAACTAAAAAACATCAAAAATATTTTTATACAGAATCATCAAAGGGAATAGAAGAAGATTTTAAAAAATGGAGAATTAAATATTAAGTACTAAGTTTTTTTTTGTAAAATCATTAAATTGAATATTTTATAATTACAATATTGAATATTTTATAAATGCAATATTTCCTATTAGGCCGGAGCTAACATGATTGTGTCCGGGACTGCTGTTGTAAACGCTCAAGACCCAGCAGCTGTCATCAAACAGCTCAGAGATGCTGTCAATAAGCAGCTTTAACTCTCACAACATCTGTCAAGAGGGTTAACAAGCGGTCACAAAAATTTAAGCGCTAAAATTTGGGATTTCATACATTCCAACCTACATTGAATACATAGCATTTACAAAGTATTCGACAAATCTGTGATTATAGATTTTTCGCAATGATTTCTATTATATTTTTAGAGTTTTCTAAAATAAAAAACTTTACAGTACATGCTGCACACTCTAAAAAGGAGTCACAATAATTTCCGCAGCTCATTTCGAACTAGATTACAATTGCTTTTATTTGATAGATCTGTGATTTTAGATTTTGCACACAAATAATATATGCAAACTGCACAGTGCCCTGCACAATAGCACTCAAGGGAAAGCCTTGTGACTGAAATTGTCAACAAAAAAAAACACAAGTATATATTTTCAGAAAAAATATGGATGAGCTGAGAAATCTTTTGATGACCTACGTCAAGGAAAATAAATATTTTTAAATTTTAAAACAATAATTGATGAAATGTTATGTTTTCATTATCAATCACTTATCAAAAAACAAAATCTACACTGCAGGGGTACATGTTTATAATAATTATCACTCTGTGATGGCTTTCGAAGGGGTGATGATAGAATGATAGAAATCTTCATTTCCCATGGTTTTTCCATTTTAAGCATTTTCTTAAATAATCAATTTGTTTTCCTTGAAATCTTTCTGTTTACCTTAGACTACTCACCTAACCCTCTGACTACCAACTTAACCCTGTGACTACCCACTTAACGAAAGTTTGTTGAATTTGAATCATAATTCATTTGAAAGTTTAAAAAATCCTAAATTAATATTGTACTTTCCACCAATAGATCCCCCCCCCCCATAAATTAGGTATGTTATTTTGGGGTTCTATTTGCAGACAAAAACTTGTTTCACGTGACAATCATTCAGTGATTGAAACTAACACTAAAGTAAGATATACGACAGTATCTTTCACATTTGATAGATCGATTAATATTTAATAATACTAAGGAGGTGGAAGGTACATTAGGCATAGTTCTGTGTGATCGGGATGGAATTCCAATTCTAAGGTAGTATTTTCCTGAATTTTTCAGGCGTACCCAGTGATCCTTACTTATTCTAACCGTTGTTGTACAGGTGTTCACAGTAACCTTTCATTATCTTTCTTACTGCTACGTACAAGTGTACACAGTAACCCTTATTAATCCATTTTTCTGTACACTTACACAGTGACCTTTCTTTATTATCCCAATCGTCACTGTATATGTGTACACAGTATCCTTTCTTTATTATATTAGTTACAGTACAGATGTGCACCTTTCGTAAGTATTCATACTATTGCTGTTACAGATGTAAACAATAACTCTTCTTTATTCTCTCTGTCACTGTATACTCAGTAACCTTTCTTTATTCTAATTGTTACAGAACAGGATGCGCAGTAACCTTTATTTATTCTCACTGTTACTGAACAGGTGTACACTGTACACAGTAACCTTTCTGTATTCTCAATGTTCCTGTACAGGTGTACACTAGAAGATTGTCCGGACTCAGCGACAAGACCGGCTTTTCTATCAGCCCATGCCGCCGCTAGCGAACAGGTAATAGATAGCTCATCAACTCTCAAATCCACAAAGCGCCACGAACAGTTTTCTTTACTTGATTGTAAACTTGAATGGACGGGAGCTCACGTCTGATTTCTAGGGAATGAAGGTTAACTGCAATAATTATTATTATTTTTATTTCTTGGTCACAATTCCATAAATTCAATGTTTCATCCAATAAATCTGATAAATCTACATACTCCTTAAATTCACCAATCAATCAATTAACTGACAAATCAATTAGTCTTCAATCAATCAATAAGTTTATTTACTATTTAATCAGTTCACCGCTTAATAAATTAAACCTATAATTTGTCAATAAATTTATGCATTAATCAGTCTATTAATTCATCAATGAATCAGGTTATAAATCTATCAATTATTTTATCAATAGATTTATCTTAACATTACATGAATCAGTTTCATCAGGATATGTCAAAATCAATCAGTAAACGAATTAATCTACTCTAATTGTGTTCCTACAAGTATATGTAAAGTGTAAACTTTGCTTGTCTGTTTGTAATCAATAAATTACAAACAATTTTATTTTGTAAAATTTTGAAAATGCACGAAAAAATGGTATGAAATCTGCGACCTTTTTTTGGATTTTGTTTTTATATTGTACACAGAGAAGATGCTCGTAGATAGAGCCAGAAATGAAAGTTGAAATAGGAGATCATGTGCGCAATGCTCCCTAATAACCTAGTTCTCTTATTCTAATACTCTTATGTATTCCAGGCTGGGAAAATGGGATTGGGAAATAATGAGACAGTGATGGCAGTTTATCAAAACTATCAGGCAAGTCACATATTATTTAAAACTAAATGATCAGTGTACAGTGTGAACTATAAGTCACATATTATTTAAAACTAAATGATCAGTGTACAGTGTGAACTATAAGTCACATATTATTTAAAACTAAATGATCAGTGTACAGTGTGAACTATAAGAAATCTCTTCAATGTATGTATATTGTATATAATACGATTATGTACAGTGCAGTGTAGACAGTAAAGTATGTTTCATGGAAAATAAAATCTTTTTCTCTTTGGCTAAAGTAATCTCTACCCATGCTTAACATGATTAGTTAGGTTTTTGATCAATATGTTCCTGTAAAGTTTCAGAACTTAATATATTTTTATTCAGGTTGTACATTTGATACATGCTGGAGTAGTGATTACTGTGATAGCCACTGCTGATGCATTGTTAAGTATGATATTGATAATAGGAATGGAGTCCGAAGATCAAATGGACACAAATTTACTTAAGTTCACATTATTATCCATTCAAATTTTTTTTTAAACTGAATCTGAGCAGGTGATTTCTTGATTGAGCATAATCTGCTTAATATCTTGATTTTAGATATTCGAAATATCTTTGTTCTCTCATTAGTTGAACGCACAATATGTCCGTTCGTTTTTCAAATTGGACACTTGTTTGATTTTAGACGCGTTACTGATTCAATGGTTGATCTAGATATCCACAATTCAAGAATTCCCAGCTCAAGATCTTTTCAATTAGGGTTTAGAAAAGAACCAGTTTGCGCAGTATTATTTCCATATTTTACTAAAATTGTGTGTGTCTGGTCTGGTGGAATCTGGGTGCCGTTGTCTATTGGGCATGCTATCTTTACATAGAAGGTCACTAGAAATTACGCTTACAGTTCCTTTCGAGGTTCTTGCACTCCCTTTTTAGAGTGATTAAAATTGAATTCACCAATAGGTGAAAAATATTAATTATAAACTAAACAAATTATGAAAAAAGATTTATTGTTCAGATGAGTTGAGGTGTACAGTAGAGAATCTGAAACCTCTTGTTCAGGAATATTTTCATTCTAGTCTATCTGTTAATTTGTTAACAGTATCTGGAGTATTCTGAAGGAGGGGGGGGAGTCAATTTTTAAACTTTCTCAATACAGATCGTGTAATTTTAACATTTTCAACTGTTTCTGCCCTGTAATTTAGTTTTCTTAATTTTAATTTTTCATATTTCATTAATTCATTGTCATTTTTTAAAATGAACTTATCTTTATTTAATTTTTTTAAGTCCATTTATGTTTCATGCACCTAATGAGGATATACTTAGGATATATCTCTTGCTGTTCTGCACCCTGCTGCGTAAACAGGAAGACGATATTTTTCTGGAACAGGAAAAAGATTAAAGTGGGGAGCAGGGGCGTCAAGTGGAGGCAAATAATCCTCATTTTTCCAAAAACTTTCCGATGTAGATGATTTCGGTTTTATATATATTTTATACAATTAATAATAATATTTTATTTATCTTGTTTAATGTAAACAATAATTTAGTATTTTTGATGTAAAAATTTAATTAAGTAAACGTAAATGATTAAATGCATCCTTGCTTTTCAAATATTTGAATTATTTCAGAAAAATGAAAGAAAATGGGAAAAGTAGAGAAGATACATTAAACGATATAGGCATCAAGCATTACTCATGTATTATAAAGGGACTGTAAATGTAATTCCAAGTGACTCGCTATTGATAAAGTTGCATGTTCGATTCACGCTGATGACCAGAGCTGAAAACTTTAGAATTAGATACGATTAATCCTGATCGCTTAATCTAAATATCCAGTGTGGAAACTTCTTTTTAATCCGTTCTTGTTAGATATCACATTTCCTACTACATGTAATAAAGAAAAGTTGTTAACAATTGCAGATACGATGCTATATCGAATGGACTAACATCCGATTGATCTAAAGTCGGATGTTCACAAGCCGGTTTTTAGAGCATTGTACGCTTACCTGAATAGAGCTGAGACGCAGAACCACAGGAACAGAAAGGAATAATCGACTCCTAACCCAGGACCGGCTAGGAGCCCCCCAGGAGAATATGGACTGACCAGGAATGAGGGTCAGAACAGGGAGAGGACCGGGCCTAAACCCACCCTACAGAAACCCCAGAGCTTGCTCAGCCCAAACTGCTGACCAAGCCCAGACCCCCAGAACCCAGAACGCCCACACCCAACCCCAACCGAGAAACCCCCAGCCCCTAAACCAGAGACGGGCGGGTGGGAGGAAACTCGAAAAGCTGCGCCACAAGACTGAAGGAAATACCTGCCGGCTGACAGATAGTCAGGCGCAGTACACGTCAGCTGACTCGCTCTAGTACCGGGCCGGGGCAGCGTACAACTAATCTAACTCCTCAGCCCAGGGGCAACAAGGACCTAGAAAACGATTAAACATATACAAAATTAAGTGTTTCAGAGTTGAAAATACTTTATAACCTCCAAAAATATAGGTTGCGGGAATATTTCCCCCCAATTCTAAAAGAAAATATAAAAAAGAAATCAAAGGAAGAGGAAAGGAAAGTAAAGTTAATTCATTGTTAACATTTTATTTAATAAACATTAATCCAAAACTTACGTTCGTTCATTTGATCACTAGTTCAAATGGATATGACACCACAAATGCGGGAAAATTATTAACCGGTATTTCAAAAGTTATAGAGCGCATCTCTAATCTCTTGAAATTAATCTAAAGACTAAATTAGTCTTCAGTTTAGCTATGAGAGGATCAAGCATTAATCTCGATATCCACCAGTCTAAAGTTTTCAGCTCTGCTTTGTCTGGCCAATGTTGAATAAGATATCCTTGTTTTAGTTTTGGAAAAACTGATCTTTTCGTTTGTGGTTCTCTTCAAAAGTGACTTACACATTTCTTGAACAGAAATAGTGGAGATATGAACAGAATCGAACACTAAGCTAGAAAAACGCGTTATCTTCCACATTATTGATTAGATTAGGGTTTCAAGGGTACCGTTATGAATCTGGAATGCTCCTCTTTCAATGGAGGGCCACTTAAAATCACAAGAAAATAATTTAAACTAGGTTGGTTGTGATTATTCTTATTGTCAACTGTGTTTCCCAGAAGGAATTCACAATAAAAAACAGATTTTTTAAGAAAATGGGTTTTCTTAAATGTTTCTATTTGGTATTTGGATATTAATTATTAACATTTTACCTGCTCTTATTTCTCAGGTTTATGGTTAATTTACTTATCTATTTGAACATTTGGTCTATTAATGCACTTATTCAAACATTAAAATTGCCGGTGTTATGTTATTTTTTGTGATTAATGACGGTTGGGTTTAATTATTGAATTCAACTTAATTGTTCGAATAGAAGACACGTTTGATTAACAAATTTAGTTGGAAAACTCTTATAGTAACTCAAAGCATTTATGTGTTGTAACATTTTTTTTAATTTTTTCTAAAAAACGTGATGATCCTTAATGTTAGTGTCGTATATCGGATTCCTACATGCAGAAGATCTGTTCTGTGATGCCGCGTTCAATTGCAGGGATGGAAGAGTTTTGGCGCATAAATTCATATTAGGTAATTTGAAAGGGCCCATCGATTTATTCAAGTAATTTTAAATTTAAAGTGTTCAAATTGTTCTTTCTTTACATTAGTAAATTTACGTTATTGTGATTGATGCATCTATTCTAGTCCCTTTCTTAAAAAAAAACATATTTAGAGATAGGGCAAAAATTGATTTCTCCATTCTTTTTCATCCTTTTTCATACTTAGTCCCAATTCAGCGAAGAAAAAAATGTACACCTAACTTCTGGAGAAAAAATGATTTTCTATAAGAGGGGGGGGGGGGGAGTTTTAAAAGATACACGTACTCCTGAAATTGAAAAACGTTTTCATTTTAGGAGCTCGTAGCAGGCTTCTTCTCGATATATTGGAAGAGGATGAATTAGAGATTTATATTCCGGATTTCAGTATTCACCTTGTTCATCTACTTCTAGAGCTTATATACGCAGGGACTGTTTGTGTTACTTTCTCTTCAGTATTCTCAGTTTCATTCAGTCAAATTCCTTTCCAATATATCTCTTACTGTACACTCTGCTCAGAAGAGCATGGTACATAGATATAGTTGTCGGGTAGAGTAAAGTGTACATAAACGTACATGAAAATTACTTTCTAATAACATTGAGGTAAATTACGATATATCTCTCAGTGTACACTCTGCTCAGAAGAGCATGGTACATATTGATATTTGTCGTGTACAGTAAAGTGTACATAAACGTACATGAAAATTACTTTCTAATTACATTGAGGTAAATTACGATATATCTCTCAGTGTACACTCTGCTCAGAAGAGCATGTTACATATTGATATTTGTCGTGTACTGCAAAATGTACAATGTACATAAACTAACAATAAACATAATTCAGCAAAGTTATTTTAATATTACGTTTATTGAAATTCCAATGTAACCTCTCAGTGTAAGAGCATGGCACATATTAATACCTGTCATGTACAGTAAAGTGTACATACAATGTGAACGAATTTTACTTAAATTTATTTCTCAGTTTCAGAATCATTTAGTTAGATTCATTTCATTCTGTTAATTTGCTTATCAGTATATCTCGATGTACACAACTCCGAAAGTCATTATACACAAATAGATATATTGTGTGTTTTCTGTACAGTGTACAATGTACATACATTTACTTACAATGTGAACATAGTTTATAATCTATTTGATGTAGTTGCATTCTTTTCCTACTAAACTCATACTTGTACAATATGTACATTGTTCTATATGTACATTTTACTACATTTTCGTTCATAGAAAAGTGAACACAAATTTTTTTGGTTTTTTTTTCATAGAAACAAATTATATCCATCTTATTTTATTTAAAAGAACAATTCAGAAAAAAAGGGTAAAATAAACAAAACCTTGTGGTTTATATACATATTAGTATCGCTCAGAGCAAATAGTTTTTTATTACGGATACTTTTTAAAAGGACTGTGAGCGTAGTTACAACTTTGTATGCAACTTTTTATGTAAAGATATCAATGCCCGATTCACAACAGTATCCTTAAGAGCTTTGTCTAATCAAGTATAAATAATATATCAATATTAATGCTTCTGGAACCTGATATTTTAAATTGTGGTTTCTCTACAAAAGTGACTAGCGTCATTTCTAGGAATTATCATAATTAAAACTTTTAAACCCAGAAAAAACGACAAAACTTTTCACATTTTTAATTGGATAAAGGTTTCAAGGGTACCGTTGTGAATCAGCGTTGCCATCTGTGCATAGAGGGTCACTTAGAAATACACTTACAGTCTAAAAAATCAGATTGAATTTTAAAAACTTTGATTCGCTTGAAGAGATCATTATTATTAACAAATTTCTTATTTATTCATCTCTAGAAAGTTCTTTCATATACAAACCATTGACCCAGTAACTGGGAACATTGTTTAGAAAACTTGGTAGAACTTTCACCGATACTAAATGATTTGAAAGGTGGGAGGGGGGGGTAAATTTTTTACAGTTGTTAGTTTTAACTTTTTGAAATATATTATTGGTTTATTGCTGCATTTTGTTTAATGTGTTCTGGAAGAGGATGAATTAGAGATTTATATTCCGGATTTCAGTATTCACCTTGTTCATCTACTTCTAGAGCTTATATACGCAGGGACTGTTTGTGTTAACCAGGTAGTGTGACGCAGTAAATATATCGTCTTCCTCTTCAAAGATGAAATCCTCCAAAAAGACGATCTTAATCCTTAAACTAGCCTTGTTGGATGATTTATGCTTTTTATCCATTGATTTTATTGTTTGATGTGTGAAATTTTTAAAAATATCTTTTTAAAATGTTTTCTTTCTCCAGGACGACGCTGAAAAAATAAACGAGCTATTAACATTATTAGGTGAGAACTTTGATCAAAGAAACAACAAACATATAATATATTTATTATTTTTTAATGTAGTTAGTTTCAAAGATTTCAAGTTTAAATTAATTTAGAATGATAGTTAAATGAATTAAAGATATTCATCTAATATGATAGTTAATTGAAAAAAAGATTAATTTCATCATGATAGTTAAAATAAAGAAGGCATTCTTTTGATATGAAAGTTTTTATTTAAAAAGATTTTCATCGTAAATGATAGTTAATTGAAAAAAAGATTAATTTCATCATGATAGTTAAATAAAAAAGCATTCCTTTCATAAAAAAGCTTTAAATTAAAAAAGATTAATTTCATCAATTAAAAATAGTTTTATAAAAAACGTATTCTATTCATATGCTAGTTTAATGAAAAAAATATTAATTTCAAATGAAATTTAAAGGATTAAATGTATTCTCCCTGAAAACTATTCTTATTGCAGGGATAGAATGTGGGTATTCTACTATAAGTCTACCAAGCAAAAAGCAGAAACTGAAAATTAAACATGAAAACAATCTTAGCTCAAGGTAACAGAACAGTTATTTATAATTATAAAAGTGTTTATTAGTAGGAAACTGGTTTTAGAAAATAAACAATATGTTCTGTATTTCAGGAAACCAGTTATAGAAAGTAAACAATGCCGGAAAAAAAGAATGTTTACCTCTAATCTAGATATTAACCAATTAACTTGTGAAACCTGTTTCAAAGTTTTCCCGAAGGTATTCATTTTGTATTCTCCTTTTTGAGGGTGTTTGAACTGTTCTTTTAATTGGGATGAAAAAAGAAAATTATTTGTGGGAAATCAATTAAAAACTTATTATGTTAATCATATATAAAAATTTGATTTGGAGAAACCAAAAATTTGTTTTGTCCAAAATTTGAGAGAATAATATTTAGGTTTGAAGGGATTCTCCCTGGTTTGAATAGTTGTGTCAGTTATAAAACAAATGCAAGTTGAGATATTTTTATCAGTCTAAAGAGAAAATTTTCATATGTTAAAATTAATTGACATATTGGCGCATATTTAATATTTATATTGAAAAATAGTAGATTTTTTCATCAGTCTCCCTTGTGCAGTGCATCCCCTCCTTAAGTTTTAACCATTTAAACACAATTTTAGACAGAAAAAGAAATATTAAAAAATCAAAAATTCTTATTAGAATTAAATGTCGCTCTTCTTCCAATATATCAAATTCTTTAATACATTAATTATTATTAAAACTGTTTTTCCTGTCAAAATTTATCAATGAACATCGCGGCATTTGTCTTACATTGCTTTTGATGCTTAACAATCATTTCATTGAAATGGTGAAACACTAAGAGGGATGAAATGTCTCAGGGGGAATAAACTGATTTACGACACATTGGCACGTGATCCAGGTTTGCTCCGGGAGAAATCCTGTTTTGTTAAAATTATTACAGCAATCTTTTGATTTAAGAAATAATTAATAATTTGTAAAAATCTCTTTAATATTAACAGTATTTTTAATTTTAGTTATACAAGCTGAAAAATCATCAATTAATTCATCTGAACAGTTTCCCATTTATCTGTTCAAACTGTGGCAAGGAAAGAATAACAATAAAAACCTCGGGACAAAATAAAATCTAAAATGTATTGAACCTTCTTGATAGTGAGACAATTTATATCCAAAAACTATAAGCACTACAAACCAAAATAATAGTGTTATAAATAGGTATTTTTAAGTTTTAACGAATCAAACTCGATTATTTTTTTAAAACAAATATGAATATTATTTAGCCTGCTTGAATCAAAAAAAATGTTGAAAAAAAAATGGAAAAAAAATTTCAAATCTGTTTAATTTTGTTGATATTCTGTTTAACTGAAGGGGTTTAAGAATAAATATAAACTGAACGCTCATGAGAAGGATCACAAACTTGGGCTCATTTTACCAGAAAAAATTAAGGTAAATTTTTTACAGTTGTTAGTTTTAACTTTTTGAAATATATTATTGGTTTATTGCTGCATTTTGTTTAATGTGTTCAAACCTGTCTCAAAGACTAAATAGACACAATCTTTATTCTTCAATCCTTTTTCTGTAGACTTTATTATTTAAAAAATTGAACGTTTAGTGTTTCCCTTTTTATGCTAGTTTTGTTTAAATTCTATTTAAAGTATGTTTTTAAGGAGAAAAAGGTGAAAGAGGTAAAGGAGGTGAAAGATAAATATTTTGTGTGTAAACATTGTGGAGAAGAGTTCAATAGTTTGCTCAACAGAAACAATCATATCAGGTAAAGGATGGGGTTTATAATTAATATATCATTGAGAAATAGAAACAATCATATCAGGTAATAGATGGGGTTTATAATTAATATATCAGTGAGAAATAGAAACAATCATATCAGGTAATAGATGGGGTTTATAATAAATATATCAGTGAGAAATAGAAACCATCATATCAGGTAGTAGATGGGGTTAAAATTTATATATCAGTGAGAAACAGAAACAATCATATCAGGTAAAGGATGGGGTTTATAATTAATATATCATTGAGAAACAGAAACAATTATATCAGGTAAAGGATGGGATTTATAATTAATATATCATTGAGAAACAGAAACAATCATATCAGGTAGTAGATGGGGTTTATAATTTATATATCAGTGAGAAATAGAAACAATGATATCAGGTAGTAGATGGGGTTTATAATTTATATATCAGTGAGAAACAGAAACAATCATATCAGGTAATAGATGGGGTTTATAATTTATATATCAGTGAGAAAAAAAATACTGCGCAGTGCAATTTTTTGTGTATTTGTTCCTCCAGTCCCCTCAAAAATTAAATATATAGATTAAAATAAACATTTTTAATGGTAAGTATAGAAATTATGTACTTTAATTGGGTTTGAATTAAAATGAATATGTGTAGATATTACAGGATTGTTTAGGTTAAAATAGATAGATAGACAATGACTGAGGTTTCTGTTTTCTTAAATAAAGGGGGGGGGGGGGGGGCCCAAGCGACATTTCCCGAGATTTTACCCATAATTTCAATTTACTTTAGTCAGACCCACAAGATGAACCATTCCTGTTTCCATTGTGCAACCAAATTCAGGAAAATGGAGATACAATATATCTTTCTATTTTCATTATAGGGCTGTTAACATGATTCTTCATGCAAAGATCAAGTATAAATCAGATATCAATGTTTTTTTTTCTTTCATTTGCGGTTTGTCTGCGAAAGTGACTTGCGAATTTCTTGCTTGTAAAAGGCAATGGAAAAACTAAAAATAAATATTTTTTCCGAGTCAGAAAAACGACAATATTTCCCAGAATTTTGATCGGATTAAGTTTTCAATGATACTGTTGTAAATCAGGCATTGCTGTCTTGCATGGAGAGTAACTTATTAGTAATTAGGGGTTGAGGTTATTATTTTTTGTTTAACTAACAATTACTCTTTCTTGCTTTTCATTTTCACCTCCAATGCTTATTTATAGATGTGAGTAAAATGTAAAATAGGAAATAGTTTTTACCTCCATTACTTGATAGAACCAAAAAAAATTTGATAGCACACCTTCGAGTTGTACATAATGATTTAGAGAGTGTTCTAAGGTAATTAATAAAGAGTAACGTACACTGTTCAATGCACATTGTACAAGATACAATCAATGTTTTTTGATTAACTATTATTTTCTTAATTTAACTTTTCATTTTGTTTTGCACACATTATGCATGTTGTCAAACAGCATTTTAATATTAATACTTGTTTAAATTTGTTAGCGTATTTTAGTATCGTGTTGATTTCAGGCATGTTTGTCCAATCTGTGATAAACGATTCAAAAAGCCATCGCATTTGGAGGATCACCAGGAAAGGAAAAACGATTCTCAAAAATTTTATTTTTATTTCATTCATGAGGAATTGTCAACCTCAGGGATCATTATGTAAAATTACCATTTTTTAGTTAAAGGATTTCCGTTGTGTAGATCTTAGCCTTTAGGAATGTCTCTTAGATGAGAACCGAAATAGACGACATGCTAATTTTCATGACAGAGTATTTATCATTATTGCCCTAAGAAACATATTTATGCCTTTTTTCTTCTTGAATAATGACATATGAAAAATGTACAATCCTTTTGGGCTATTTTCCGTTGACCGTAGGCTCGACATAATACTGTGGGTCAGCACGCCTGTATGTACTGCCCAAAGGTAAACAAATAAACAGTAAAAAGTTGTTATTTTCTCAAAAAATGCCGTGTTGAAATATCATGTAACTTTCATTCACAAGAATACCCAAAAGCCTTTATCTGATCAATTTTGTGGAAGATATTGTACTTTCTCTACCATAAAAAGTGTTTAATTTGGAGAAATTCCTTCATTATTTCTGTAGCAGAAATCCAAACCACTAACAATTTTCAAAATAAAAAAAGATGTCAAACAAACCTTTTAACGGAGGGTCAATTAAACTTAAGTCTACAGTCCCTTTAAAACCAATTTTATTGTTAAGAGGTGTGCGACACAGCAGGACTTAAACCGCCATCTTGCCTCGCATAGAGGTGAAGCAAAGTTCACCTGTCAGCTTTGCTTTAAAGCATTTGTACACAGGTACAGAGTACATAGACAGACTAAAGTTCTTTCCTTTCTTTTTCTTTTATTTTATTCTTTTCTTCCTCAAATCCTGGATTTTACTTCGTTTGAGCAAATCTTTCTTAAGATTTTTTTGTCGTCAATTTTTTTCTTCTTTTTTCTTTCTTTACATTTTTTAAGGCATATTTAACATTGGAATTAGTTAGCAAATGTAGACGAATTAACGCGTGTTTTTTCTTGGAATAATATATGATATGAAAACTGTCACGTAGAATACACTGACTGTAGGTTGAACGATAATAATAATAATAATTAAGTGTTCTGTTAGAAGTATGTACTATGAGCATGTACGAAAACATCTTGGGCAGCGACCATATTTATGCAGACCCTGTAATAAATCTTATGCACAGGTCAGTGTAGTATAAGTGAAAATTATGTCCGAGTCACTGTTGAAATCAAAATTACAATACAAGATCCTGGAAAACAAAGTTTAGATTTTAAATATGAGAGGGAACTAAGTTATAAGCTGAATGGTTTGGATGGGTCAATCTGCTGAACAATCCACAGAGATGATTACGAGGATGTACGACGAGGGCAGAATGACTTATGCCGTTAAAAATTCCAGAAGAAATTCTTCGTCGAAGTATTTTTAAAGGGTTTTCTTAAACATAAAAATAATATTTTTTCAAAATATTTTAGCTGAAATGTTTGCGCCAACATCAGAAGGTTCATGAGAGAAAGGGTGATTTGACATTACTTGGTGAGTTCAATGCCCTAGTTTTTCCTCTGAATTATTTATCTTTAATTTTTATCTTCTGAATTATCTTTTATTTTCTAATTATCTTACGTTCGAGATTTTTGTTAGATAAATGGACTCAAGGAGTTATCTTTGTTTACTGAACAAGATATTCGGGGGGAAAATTAATTGAGCTGCACAACGACAAGTCCGCTAACCAGAAATCTATTTCATTGATATGTCTGAGCTTGATGCGGAGCCTAATCCACATTAACACTTAGCACAATTAAACCCATGTCCACACTCTACACTCCAGATTTGTGAAAACTTTATTAGTCTTTGTTGATACTTTCCTCTTGGATCCTGTTTCAAATTTTGGGAGCCAACACTGTTTGAAGAAATTTAAATTTCCTTTCTTTTTTTAAATCATCTTTTAAGTGTTCTGAGGCTAATGATAATATCGAAATATATATCCTGAACTGGCAGTCTGTATTCTTTCCAAGTCTGGTTGAGATTGCTTTAAACCTGTTTAAATTTTTTTTCAAAATTTTTGGATCCAGTAAATCTGGATCCGGATCTTTAGCAATGTTATTTAGTTACCCCGAGCAAGGGTTCCCGGGGTTGTCACAGTTTTATTGACGTTATCAGCGATCCTTATCCGGTCAACACAGAACAGAAACAGAAGGTAAAGGATGTTTATCTATTTTAACAAAAGAAATGATTTTTTTTTTTTTTTTTAATTGTTATGACAGAAGAAAAAATTATTTTAAGAAATGAAATTTTTTTAAGTCTAAATGGCAAAAAATTCTTATACTGAGGAGGGTCAACACAGACTGAAATATATGGTAAAAAAAATATGTAAAAAAATGTGCTTTATTTACTCTCTATGTGGTTGGGATCAAGATCATTACTATATTCTTTAAGCTTTTTAATGTTAAGAATCTCCTAATTTTTTTTATCTCAAACTCTATTTAAATGTGATCAAAGGGAGTGTGTGGCTAGATATGGTAGTTGACCTGAGAATACAGTATTTTAGAATTCATTTGAGACCTATCAGACGTTTTTCGGTGCATATTTGTTCAACAACCGCACAATGGGGTAGGGGGATGAAACGTATTACTCTCCGGGAAATTTAAATAGCATATAAACATATAAAAATGTAACACAAATTCTACAGTGAATTAATTAGTTGTTGAGGAACAGGATAAAATAAAAATTAACTCTTATCATCAAAAATTAGTAATCTTATTCAATTATTGCTTTCTGTAATGTCTCATTATTCATTTACATTTCCCGAAATTTTATTGAAAAGACGACATTTAAAGAATTTGAAGAAATCTGCGATCACATTCATTAAGAATAATTAATTCAACATGATGATAAACAAGAAATAATTGATTCTAACATTGATTTATTGACAAATTTCTATTTCTAAATATCTAATTAGTTAACTGTAGAATTTTTTTACACTTTTCCTCCTTGTTATAAAATATTCTTTTAAAAAACGATCTTCAAACTTATACCTACAAAATGGACAATCAATGAGGATTTAAAGATTGAATTTGCCCTCTGGCTGAACAAATATTCAAAGAAAAACGTCTGATAGGTCTCAAATGAATCCTAAAAAATTTCTCTATAAAACTGCATGCTCAGCTCAACTACCATGTCTAGCCAGACACTCCCTTTAATCACATTTTAGTAATAAATATGGTTCGGGATAAAAATGAGTAAATTATTAACATCAAAAAACTTTTAAATATTAACAACAATTTTATTTATCAATGATTCACCGTTGTGTTTATTACAAAGGTGTGTAGAAATCAATTTTCAGTAACAATGAATATTTGAAGGCTACCGTTGTGAATTATTGATGATACTGGTAGACAAATACTACAAATTCTGTAATTTTGCCAGGATTTGAATACACAAGAGGTTTATATTCCTGGACCTCAGTTTACCAAGTCTACAGGATACAAGAGTAATCTATCCACGGGTACACTCAAGGAGATGCAGGTTAGTACATTGATGATACAGGATACAAGAGTAATTTAACCACGGGTACACTCAAGGAGATGCAGGTTAGTACATTGATGATACAAGATACAAGAGTAATTTAACCACGGGTACACTCAGCTCATAAGTTTTTCAATTAGAGCTTATAAGTATTATAATTATTATTATTATTATTTTATTATTTTTTTATATCTTTGCAACCTGTGTAAACCTTTAATATTTCGAACATTGATTTGATCTATCAGAATTTATAGTTTGAAATATCTAGGTTTACAACACTGGTTTACAAAAATTAGAAAATATAAGGAAATCAGAGTTTGTGGAAAAGACTCAACTATTTTGCGAATGCATTATTTAATCAGATCTTGACGACATATAAACTATTCTTATTTTTACTACTAATTATTATTGACAGTGTCTTTCCACATACTGTTCGATCATAACTCGGGAACCCGTGGACCGATTTGCCTCAAATTTTGATTGGGGACTCAGGAGACTCATGGGAATGTTCTTAGCTTAGTTTTGAGATTCTCGGTTAAGTGGGTATACTATTAACTGGAAAAATAGCCACTAATCAATCGGGTATGAAATAAATTTTACAATACTGTCCTTTCCCCTCTTTAACTCTTCTAGGTGATCACAGATTACACTGAGATATCAAGAATAGGATTCCATTTGCCAGGTATGCTCATATTTTAGGGATACAATTATAGAAAACCTTAAGTAAAGGGACTGTCTTAGCAATCTCAAGTGACATTTCGTTTTAAGAGGGCCTTGTTCAGTTCATACCGATATTCTTTAAACCTTTATTTGTTCAATAATGTGGAAGATATCGTCGTTTATTTTCATTTTGAAAGGTTTTTATTTATGACAATTTTCTCCATTGTTTTTGAAGCATTTATCTACAATTTACTTTTATAGAAAAATCACAATTAAAAATTGCCACATTTCAGAGAGAAAAACATGGACAATGGACACGACATTCGATCTTTTAAAAGATGGATAATTGAAATTACGTTTAAAATCCTATTTAAAAAAACGGACAATTACAAAACTGAAATAAATTGTTCAGCATTTGAAGGTTTTTTATGTTTAGAAAACGATGATAATGGATTCCAGTCAGTGGTGGAACTAGAACAGATGTTCCCAACTCAAGTTCAACATAATTCAGTACAATCTGTACTACCTGAATAGACAATACTGTACTACAGTACATTCTGTACTTCCTAAATAAATAATACCGAACTGCAGTACATTCTGTACTGAAGAGAATACTGTACTTTAGTACAATATGTACCCTCTGAATAGAAAATAGTGTACTACAGTACAATCTGTACTCTCTGAATAGAGAATAGTAAACTACAGTGCAATCTGTTATACCTGATAGATAATACTGTACTACAGTGCAATTTGTCTCTGTGAATAGAGAATAGTAAACTACAGTGCAATCTGTACTACCTGAATAGATAATACTGTACTACAGTACAATCTGTACTCCCTGAGCATAGAATATTGGTTCTTGTGCTACAGTATAATCTGTACTCCCTAAATAGAGAATACTGTACTACAGTACAATCTGTACTCCCTGAATAGAGACTGCATTTATACAAAAAACAAGTTCATTATTTATTTTTACTTCTGCACTGCTCCAACCCATTTTACATAGCTATTTAAAGGAAACTGACCTAATTGGTATCCGAACTAATTAATGAGTAGTTTTGACAGAAAATATTGAAATTTTAAACTCCGGGCCCTGCCCTGTGCGTTTTTACGGATATAATTCAACTTCTCATTATCCCTAAATCTAACCCCCTTCCAACTCCGCCTATCTTGCTTAAACTAACCTAACCAATTTTAAGATTTAATAAAATGTTAGGTCTGTAAATCCTTAGGTTAGTTTCCTTGAGGGTACCGTACTCACATTCAGTCGTCTTTGTATATTCCAGATGTAAAATGGAAGGAGCAGAAGAGCTTGTCGTCTTTGTATTTTCAGTTGTCGTCTTTACTTTTGGTCTGACCAGGCTGACAGGTTAGTAACATAGTGTGGCAACTTTTTAAGTGGTTTTCATTGGAAATACTCTTAAAGGGAATGTAGACCTAATTTTATCTGGCCTTCATTTTAAAGAGTGCAGATCCGATTGAAAATGGTATCCATTAAACCTCATTTAAGATATATTGAGGAAGATCAGGTTGATTTTTTTACTACTGAGACTTAGGTATGATTGTAAAAACCCATTAAAAATTGTCAAGACGACATTTTTTTCAATTCTTTCCTTGACTCCTAAGTACTGGGATTAAATATAATCCATTTTGCGAGAAAAAAGTGTCTTATTTCTCTTAAATCAGATAAAGGTTTAAGGGTACCGATGTGAATCATCAGTCAGAAATGTCATTTTATAGATAAACCCCCTCTTGATTATTCGTTTTTATTTAATTTATAAGTGTTGTCTTTCTTGTTTTTATTACTTAAAACTATTTATTAAACGTTTGTGTTATTTATTTCACTTATCTCTAATATCATTTTTTTCGTAAAAATATTATTTATTAATTATAAAATTCAATGTTGTCATAGAAGACTTCATCGCTACTTGCCTTTGCCATACTAACTAGGCTCTTATTTATCAATTAAAAATTTATTTCCGTCCTTAGCTTTGGCGGTTATTTTTGAAGGGAGCCTTGATTTCTTCTAAATGATGGTTTATTATTATTCAGGGGAGGGGTGGGTGGCTATTGTGTCTCAGCCACCCCCCGGATCAGTAAAATCTATGGTTTTCAGGAAGTTTTCAGTTAAGCCCCCCCCCCCTTGGACAAATTACTTATTACGCCCCTGCTTAAAAGTTAATAGAACCAGACATAGTACAATTCAGTGAACAGTCCCTTAACCCATGTTTTACGAAAAGAAAATAGAATATTGTGATTGAAATGATTTGATGCGTGTACAATCCCCCCTCCCCTTTCTTTTCAATTCCCCTACCTTGTTAATACACACAATACACCTC